GGCTGAGGCGGGCGGCGGCGGCCCAGCCGCTCTGCTGAGGTCCTTTATCCCACGGGGGAAGGCGGGAGGTGTTGGCCTGTGCAGCTGGCTTGCAGTTCTTAGTGTCTAATCTTCTTCCAATTAAATCAGTTGAGCGTGATCTTTATTTTCTTCCTTGGCCCCGCTTCCCCCCGGCTAGCCCAAGCAGTCTGTCTCAGATAACGCTTATTTTTCCCACGTCCCGAAGGGTGTGCCTTCCTTGTAGCGGATCTGGGCTATCGCTGGGGACGTGTTACTGCGGTTTTATCGGTGTTCCCGTTCTGGCCGCGAAGCAGCGAGCGGCACGTACTCCCGCGGAGTGCTCACCCAGGGGATGCGCAGCGGCACAGCCCAAACCACGTCACGTTACACCACCCGTGTGTTCTCGTGCTCCTTTTCAATAAGATGTTTTTCAGCGTTTATGTCGAGTGTCTAACTGAATTCTATGAGGTATTTCACTTGTAAGACTATGAAAAAATTAATTTAGTGCCAGTAGCATGTCTGGCTTGGTTTCCAGCAGCAGCCATAGCTCCTGGCGTTCAGTTGGAGTTGTGCACCCTTACAGTTTCAGGTAATCTGACTCCTTTTCCTCTGCCTGTGAATTTAATACTTTAAAATAGGAGTCTGAAATAGAATACTTCTTCAAGATTTAATTAGTTTAATTTTGTGGAGTTACAGTTTCAACATGGTTTCCACTCAAAACCTTGAAGAAATATTTCTTCAGTTTTTCTTCTCCCAGTGAGAAGGGATGTGTTCCCCGGGGGCGAGAGGGCAAGTAACAAAGCAGATGCTTTGTGGATACATTGTGAATGAGTTAAGAGAGCACTAGGGACCTGTTCCATATGTCAGGAGCCAATAGATCTTAATAAGGAGCAAAGGTGAAGTGAGGAGTGGAGCTGAAGATCATGGATTTGGACCCCAAAGGCAAGTTGTCAAGAGAAAGCCAGGCAGAAAGCAGTCTTGGACAAAGGAGGGCAGTGATCCCAGTTGCCATTAATGGGTAGAAGGTTGTGTCTTGCTGGATATCTGTTGTGAGTTAAAACTACAAGGTATGAAAAAAGGAAAGGTGCGTGGATATACAGGTGTTGCTGGTTTCAAACAATGTACACATACATTTATCTTGCAGTGGATGTGGAAGGAGTTCTCAAATCCTTATTATACTTTTCTTAATACTGAGGCAGCTGTTTGCTTCCTCCTCACCTCGAAGTGCAGTGCTCCAGCAATCAACTGGAGAGCTCCTTCCCGGGCCGCTGCGCTCCCACTGAGATCAGCTCTAACAGCAGCCCAAGGGGGAAGAAACAAATAGGACAGGCTCAGGTGCACTGGTGCATGCAAAATCATGAGGAAACAATTATTAGCCAAACACAGAAATAACTTGTTTTATTTTCAAATTCAGAGTGAAACAGTAATGTAGGATACAAGAACAGTAATACAAACAAGATGTAGAAGCCATCCTTTTCACTGCACACAAATCCATAGGATTTTTTTTTCCTCTAGGAGCTTCATGCTCATTTGAATGGCTGTATCAGTTCTGCCACTATGAAGAAACTTATGGCCCAGAAGCCGTACCTTCAGATCCAGAATGGGATGACTGTGATTGACAAAGGAAAAAAAAGAACCTTAGATGAGTGAGTATATGTGTGTGTGTGTGTGAACATTTACCGAGTGTCTCTTAATTATGTTAAAACCAAAAATGTATGGCCTTATACACTGCAGAATATACATACTCAAGTTGTAATTACAATACATTCTGCTAGATTTTTTGATGCTTGTATCTATAAAATAACTTCTATAGAATAACTTCTTAGATGTTTGCAAACTAAATGGAAATCTTGTATCAGTTCCCTTTTTAAAGGATTGAAAACTTTCACATAACGTGCTCTTCAGAGAAAATTGACATGTATAGTTTCCTTTTTTGGAACAAAAGTTTTCCTTTGTGCTTCAGAAAGCTTTGTGGTGGTAATAATTTCTCTTGCAAATGTATTGTTAGCATCTAAAATCAGAAATCATCATTCAGATGGTCTTTGTGATTTAAGCTACAGGCTGGTTATTGAACATAGTACATGTTTTCAAAATGTAGATTTTTTTTTTTTAATACTCATTTTACCATTTGTCGTTTGCTCAATTTTTTACCTTTTTATTTTAGATGTTTTCAGATGTTTCAGATCATCTATCAGATCACCACTAGGACTGAAGATATTTTACTGGTAAGTCAATTAAAAGTTTGCTTAAAACAAGCAAGCAGTGCACACAGAGTTAGTTGGACTAACACCATTGGATTCCCAGTAACAATATCAACAATGGTCTCTTCAATTGCAGGTCAGAATTATTATTGTAAAACACATCAATTTGGAAACACGGAATTTTACATAACTTTCAGTTTTTGTGAAAGCAGTGAGCTTCCAATATGGTGGTCATTACCACCACTTGGATGCTTGGACTGGTAATGTCTGAAAAATGTGGAGTCTGTTTATTGTTACAAAAGCTTTGATTTACTGCAGTCTGCTGCTTCTTTGGTGCATTACGTAGCAAAACTACAGAAATAGAATTGCCGTTTGTTCACTGTAAGTTACAAAACTGTCAAGGAGAATTGTTGTGTGATCAAAATAGGAAGCAGAAAGTGGTGTAGTGTCCTCTTCTTTCCACCTGTAAAGGGCTTTTAGGCAGCCTGTTAAACTTACAGAAGGGTACAGTAGCTGTGAAAGGGGTTATGACTGCACCAGTTGAAGGGTATTCTTTGTTCAGACAAGGAAATTCTCTTTTGCCTGAACTCTCTTTAGTACCACTGAGGGAGCTGAAGGTACCCTCTGTGGGGTAGTATTCCCAGAGATGGAGAGCACTAAAAACATGTAGGGCCTGAGAATTTTGCGTTTCACACCAAAAAGTAATTGGGTCTTTTAGTTGTAAAGGAAAATATATCAAATTATAAGCATTACTTTCATGATGATGAATACGCTGTTTCTTAATCAGATAACTAAAGATGTTATTAAAGAATTTGCTGCTGATGGTGTCAAGTATCTGGAACTGAGGAGCACTCCTAGAGAAGAAAAGTCTACAGGTACAGTCTGTTCTGGGTTTTAATTTGTAAGTCTGATGTATTATCAAACTTAGCTAAGACTATGTTAATAACAAGTAAAGTCAGATTTAGTAGGTTCAATAAAACTATACTTTAAATATAAAAGCAAAGATTTAACGATGCAAAAGCATGTCACTTTGCTATTAGACTTTTGAGCACAAAAATGTGTTGGTTATAACTCTACTACCCAAGAATTTGGGTTATTTGCTTTAGTTTGACATCTGAGTCTGCTAATATTTTTAATAGCTGATATATTTTATTTTTGTTACTTTTTTTATTTTAGATGTGGTTTAATAGAAACACATGAGAGAAGTCCTGTTACTACTCTCTGGTTCACACTGTTATTTTCTTTCTTCTAGATGCTTAGGAGGAGGCTTAATTCAAATGTATGCTTCAAAGCAAAGCTATGTTTATAAACAGAATTAGAACTATATAGAAGACTGTGGACTAAAATCAAAGGTGTAAAGTGAAACTTATGAGGCTGGAGAGCTGACTCTGCAACATAATACATTAATTCAAATATGTTTATTCCAAATGTATGCATGTGTTTGTAGGTATGACCAAAAGGATGTATGTTGAAACTGTACTTGAGGGTATAAAGCAGTGTAAAGAAGAAGGCTTGGATATAGACGTAAGGTAAATAAAGTACATGGAGTTCCTCTGTTTCAAGGTTTTGTGTAGTCTCGTGCTCAGTCATTTGCAGAGGGGTTTACAAACCATCCATGTAGGAGACAAAATGATGTTTAGACTAGATTACATGGAATGGAAACAGGTAATTCATATGGAAACCTGGATTTTTATCTTCCTTTTTACTGACAAAGAATAAAACTGGGTAAAGCTTTTCAGCTCTAAGACTGTCCATTCTCTGCAGCATTTTCAGGAAAAGCAGTGCTTTTGGCTGCAATTGCATTCAAGACTCGTTTTTCACAGCCTAGATTCATTGTGAAGATTTTGCTTGATTAGCTGTAGAAGCAACAGGAGGTTGTTCAACAGCTGTAGAAGGAGAGGTAGTCCCACCAGGCAGAAAAGTTTCAGGTGTCAGTGGTTGCCTGGAGGCCCTCAATTTGCCTGTCTTTTATACTCTCAGTAGCAACCTGTGTGAGATTTTGTGGAAGCTGAAGAATTCTCATTCTTCATGTGTGCACCTCGGACAGGTTGCTTGCCTGATAGTGCAGGCAGCAAATGAGCAGCGTGTTGTTCCCTGCCAGCCCCCTCACTGGGGCTACTGCATTTCACAGGCCAACCACCTATTCATCTCATTTGTGTCCCTCTGCACTTTGGTACCTTCCTTCCTTGAACAGTTGCCTATACAAATACTCTTTATACTCAGCTGTGAAGGATATGAAGTGCCATTTTTGTTGGTATCAGATTTACTGGTCTCCTGTATTACAGCTTGTATTTAACTTAATACGTACATTTCCATCCTAGATTGTTAATAGCAATAAACAGAAGAAGTGGCCCAGCAGTTGCTAAGCAGACTGTTAAACTTGCTGAAGAGTTCCTTCTTTCCACTGATGGGGTTGTAGTAGGACTTGACCTCAGTGGTGATCCCACCGTAAGTTTTTGTTTTATTTTGGTCTGTTCTTGAAGATAGACATCAAATGTTGGGTAACAGCAAGCAGTTCTGATCATACTTTGTTCTTATAAGTTTTTGTTTGATGTTTGTGGCTAGTTTGAATGGATTGCTCATAATCCGTTAATCCCTATTGCTGTAAAAGACAGATACTCTTAACAAAGAATCAACAGATTAATACATGACACTGAAAACAGAGCTGCTGAAAAATAGTGTTTATTTGGGAGATGTCTGTTACTGAATTGTCCCAGTCAGATTGACTGGGTTGAGGCATGTTAAATAATACTGCAAGTTGATGCTAGTTTAAATATTGTTTAGATGCACCAAATTAAGAAAGAAAAAATGTTTGAGGATAGCTGTCAAGTTGAAACCAAATAGTTCTAGGTGATAGTTGTAGAAAGGATATAAAAATTGAGCCAGTTGGCTTGTCTGTGTTGGGCACTGTCTGCACTACTGACCTTTGACCAATTTGTCTAAATTGTGCCCATACTGCAGAACGTTATGTGACTTGCTGCATTTAAAACTGAATGGGAAAGGAAAAATAATTCAGTGTAACTGTATTTGAATTAAGTATTTTGATATTGCTTAGTTATTGTTATAAGAGGAGTTCTGTAAAACAAGCTGTAGAATGGTGATGTGTTTCTGTCTTCAAGGCAGGACATGGTCAAGATTTTTTGGAACCACTCTCAGAAGCAAAGAAAGCAGGTCTGAAGCTGGCATTGCACCTTTCAGAGGTTAAAGTTTTCTTTATTTTGGTCCTTCTCTGTACATCCCATTTTATAAAAATCTTGATGAAACTGATTAACTTCTGTGTGTCTTGAACTTCAGGCTGAAGTAGTAATGGTTTGGGGCATTTTGATGAGAGAAGAAAACAAGGAGATATCTTCAACAATCTCTTTTGAATCAGAACTGTTCAGATATTTCATACTGTACTGTATCGGGGGGTTAGGTGTGAAATTGAAAATTAGTAATATTCTAAGAGATCCACTGTTTTCTTCCTGGTATTTTGTCAGAGGTCATGTATAGCAAAATTGGCACATTTTCATGAGGAGTTCTGTTATATCAGTAGAAAGGGCTGGGCTTCTCCATGCAGTCTGTTGAAGTGGCTGATGTTTACTTGTGACAAGTCTGATAAATACTGAAAGTATTTTTATTTCTTTGGGAAATTAAGCATCATAAATGATGTCACAGGCCTATTTGTACTTGAGTTTTATTTCATTAAGGAGGCTTTTGCAGGATACTCTTGCATGCTTCTCTGAAAATTTATTTCTTAATGTCTCAGTGGTCTTTTGGCTTTGTTTTATTTTTCTGTTTCTTTGGTTTTGGCCTCTTGCAGTTTAAGTTCTTCATGCACCTTTTTTTTTTTTTTTAACCCCTGCATCAAACAGGCATTGAAGGCCTTCCTGGCAGGGTGGTTTTGAAACTGAAGCATACAGAGCTGATTTGAGGCCTCCAACTGGAAGTACTTTGGAACTGCAAATAGCAAACAATCATCTTTATGTACTAGTTAAGGATTATGGCTTCTTTGGTTTGTAATTGCAAGTTGAGTCACTTTCAGGGACTACTTCTTTCTTTACAGGGTACAAATGCAGATATTTAGTCTCACTAACACTTTCTTTTGGATAAGATACGCTATGAAACTAGAACTTGAAGTCCGTTGTGATTATTTCATGTACTGTTTTATGCTGCCTTGATAGAATGTAAAATATATCCTCTCTAGATTCCAAATCAAGAAGAGGAGACCAAAATTCTGCTGGGCCTGCCTCCTGACAGAATTGGACATGGAACGTTTCTCAACTCTGCAACAGCAGGTTCAGAAGAGTTAGTGCCACTTGTTCGACAGAATCATATACCTATTGGTATGAAAAATGTTGAGAAAATTACTTGGTGATGTTTAGATTTCAGAATATCATACATACTGCTGATCCTAGGAACTCTGGTTTGTCTTTGACCAGAGGTGACTTGGAAAATCATGGCAGGGGAAGAATTGCCTGTAACAGTACACTGGTAACGCTTTTGTGGGTTTTGACATATTTATGGCAGCAGACCACAACCGATGTCTTGGATGAAAACAAAACTAGATCAAACAAAACTAACTTTTAGTTACTGTACAAGGCTGTGTGGTGTTTCTGTATCTGCTTTGCAAGCTCCCTAAATTTTATACCCAGCCAGTAGTTGAGGAGAAATTGATTACCAAACTTTCCTTAGAAGATACTACCAGATATTTGACGCATAGAAAATCGAGGAAACAACACTAGCCAATTTTAATTTTCATTCAGGAACAGAAATAAGTCAATGCGTCAAAAACATGTCTTGATACATAGCCTTATTTCTTCTTTATTTTCCCTTAGAACTTTGCATGACATCAAACATCAAAACTCAGACAGTGCCTTCCTGTGACAAACACCATTTTGGATACTGGTACAACATGGGCCACCCTGCAGTGCTTTGTGTGAGTTTTTTGATTTTAACCATGTATTTAGACAAAGAGCCAAACTAATGTGAAATTGGAGAAGTATATCTCATTCTATGGATCAGAGCTGACTTACAGTTTCTGACCTTGCGGCAAATCATCTGCTTATAGGAAATCGGTGCTGGTTTTGGCTGGGATAAGAGTTCATTTGCTTCATAATGTTCTATTTGAGAAATGCTTGCAATACAAATGGGAATTTTTACTATTTCTCTTGGGTTTATTGTAAAGCAAGCCCTTTTCTTCTGTAGAGACAATCAGCTATACGTGCAATGATCTTAACTGTTTGCATACTGACAGATTTTTTTGTAAACATACTGGTCCAATGTAAGCTCATGCTTACCTGGGGATTTATGGTGTATGATGAGAGTTCTTGAGTTCTCTTGACAGCTAATTAAGGTCCTGAAATGTTGAAGTGCCAAGTACTTTTGCTGGCATTGGCAAGATTTTACTATCATCCTGTTAAACCCCTATAATTTGTAGCCCTGTCTGAGGGTGTGTATATCTAAGAGCATTGTGCTTGTTACTCAACTAAGCCTTGAGCCTTTATTGTGTAAATTACTGAGTTTGAACTCTGTATTAGGTGAAAAATAACTCATGGCTAGAGTTTATTTCTGAGATTTTTCAATTGTGACAAGTCTATAACCAATGAAGTCACGTAAGAAAGCAGCTTACCCATAAAGGCCTATAAAACCAGATACTGCAGTGTCTTAAATTCAAGAGGATGTAGTTAGTGTTCTTCTCTGTGGGGACATGTGGGCTCTGAGTTGCAGATGGATAATCTCATTAACCCTGCAATAATCCTAACTCACTCCTCTTAGATGAATAAACTTTAGATGGCTTTTGAACATACTTTTTTGATGCCAGCCTAGTATCAAGAGATGCCGTCAGTATCAAGAGATCGTTCTAGTTGACACGAAGTGTGGAGGGTGAGAGAGTTTCTTCCCCAAAGGTGTAGGAATACAGAGTATGCTCTAGTTCCCAGAGCTGAGCAAAGGGAGAAGAGGAATAAGGAGACCTGCACATACCGACATAACTTGAATGTATGCATCATTTGATAGCCGTCTTTCTAGAAATTTTAATAGGAAATCCTAGTTCCTTGATAAATTGTGACATCACTTTTTCTTGTATGTTTGAATAACTAATTTTGAGTGAAAATAGGGCAAATAAGGTATGAAATAATTACCAACAGATGAAAGAACCAGGGAATAAAATGTGAAACAGCAAGATAAAACTGGTTTGTAATGTGTAGAAAAAACTCTTTTTGATGTAGAAGAATTAATTTAAACTTTTTTTTTTTTTTCAATTTAACTCCAGACTGATGATAAAGGCGTCTTTGCAACAGATCTGTCGCAAGAATATGAGCTGGTTGCAAAAACATTTAATCTGACTCGATCACAGATGTGGGATCTTTCTTATGAATCGATCAACTATATCTTTGCTTCAAGTGTAGTAAAATCAAATCTGAGGGAACAGTGGTGTAAACTGAAGCCAACTCTGTTTGATTAATCACACTGTTGTTCTAAACAGCTTGGCTGTATTAGCTTTGTTAATAAGCATTTTTTACCAAAGTCTCTGGCTTTTTTCAGACTTTAGGTTTATAAACCCAGCCCATAAACTGTGCCACTGCAAAACGAAGATGAGTGGAATGAGCCCCACTAATAAAGGACACAACTAAACGTTCTTTTGTGATTGAGAAAGGTGCTCAACCAGTGACTAAAATTCCAAATGTGCCATCATGTGGTTTCTCTCCAGCTGATAGGACGTTTGAAAAAAATATTTAGTTGAAATATATCATCACACTGCAAACATTTGAGAATTGGAACAAAATAAAGGCACAGCTGTTAGGGGCTGAAATGCCTCTGTTAGCACCATTACACCAAGCAGTCTGTATGGTGTGTGTATATTTGGGCTTTGTAGTTTTTAAACAGAAGCTTTGAGCGATTGATTGAAGGCAAACTCAGGGAGAAATAAATATTTGTCCCAAAGGAATTAAAGATTGCATCTGTTTTTATCGGTGCCCGGCTTCGGCAGAAGCCTGCTGTGGATTGTGTGATGTGTGTGGCGGTGCCTGTCCATGCTCTCGGCACTGCTGCTGTTTTAGACAAAGTTAAGAATCTTGAATGCCAGCATAAACTCTGCGCTACTTCGGGGAAATGGTCTAATTCTTAAAATGCTTTCTAGGATGTTTGGTTTTTGTTAAAAAAAAAAAAAAAAAGAAAAAAATGAAAAGCAATAAAAATAGCTTCAACCTCTGTGTTTTTGAAATCGCTACTTCAAGGGGGGTGTGAGCAGCATGTCTGCCCTGCTGCGGGCGGGTCCCTGGCGGCCCTCCCTGTGCTCCCACAGCCCCCGGGGTGCGGACGCAGTTTGCTCCGCGGGTCTCTGCGCCTCCGGCCTCTTGACACGGAGGTACCGACATCCATAGCAACATGGGCCTGCAACACGCTTTGCTGCTAGATACTGCTGCCGAGGGCAGGAAGCACCCAGAGAGGTGTTTTGCACCTAGAATGTTTTTACATTGATTAATCAAACAAACAAACGTTCTGAGCTCATCAAGGAATGCTGAACATCAGCACAACGACACAAAAGCTGTTCATGACTTCTATTTTGGTCTTTTTGAATAAAATCAGCAGGAAATAGTTGTTCTGGCCCCAAAATGGCAGTAAGAAATGAAAGAGGGGGGGAGAAAAAGGAAGGGGGAAGGGTAGCAAAGTTGGTATGTCTGTGTGGCTACCCAAGGTTTCCACAGAACATTTTCCAAGCAGAAAAGATCCTTCTTAGAGATAGGAGGAAAATTAGGTGAAACAAAACTGATTTTATATATTCTTAATCTGAACTCAGAATAAGACCTCATGATGGCTTTTTATTTATAAGCAGTATTTTAAATTACTTTCCAAATAGTTTCGCTGATCCCATTCTCTTGTGTTGTTTGGTCAAGTTGCATTATCACTGTAACATACAGTTCTCAATATTTCCACTTAATTGACTTCTGTGTGTCTTCAAATTACTGCCTTGCATCAGCTGTAGTACTGCCCCCCTGTACTTGATGACACGTGGCTGCTGCATAGTTTTGTAATTAAGAAAACCCACTTCCCTGGTTATTGGTGAAGTGTACTACTGTTATAAGGAGTCTAGAGTTACAGCACCACTCCTCTGAAGACTGTGTCGTTACCCTGTCACTTAAGATACTTGCAGATATGCTGCCGATTCAAAAAACCCCACTGCTTCATGTTTCACAGTCTTAATGGCGTCTCAGCTGGTATTGGAAGTCAGGAGGTGATTTGGAGGACTCCATTTGTGTGAAGTAAAAGAACCAGGCATATATTTGGGTGGCTACAGAACGATAACGCAAACTGGGGAATTTCTGCACATTGTTTTCTAACTGCACTTATTTACACCACAGAAGTGTTACCTTAGAGCAGAAATGAAAGCTGGAAATGATGTGGAGAAGCCCTGGAATGCAGACTCATCATCTGATTAGAACTCTGTCAATGTACAGTTCCCAAGTTGTACATTAGAGGCTGAAACCTCACTACTTTTTTTCAGGAGGATAACTTTTATAAGTAAAACTGCAGAAGTTCCTTCTTTGGATTCAGGTAGGATTATAGTTAAGTGCTTCTTGCTGACTTTGCTTGTTAAATTCAGAGTCAGCAGTGAGAAAACCATTGTTCAGTTTATATATATATAAAACCACCTCTGACATGGTGTTGGAGTGAAGCATCACCACAGCATCAGTAATGGGGCAGAGGACGTTTTTTCCCCTGAACATGGTTGAAATTTCAAGTAACTATTTCTAGAATTTCATATTTATGATTTAAGTGGATTAAGTATCTATTCAGTTGCAGCCTAACATTTCTGAAGTAAACAAATCTAGACTGAGTTAATACTTTTATTTCCATCTGATTATATGAGAGAACACATACAGAACAGTCTCCAATGCTCAGAATCTGTTCACATTACATGAAAATATACACTTTGGTTCGACTAAATGTTTTCTTTGGAGATGTATGCAAGCAGAGAGCAACTGCTAACTGTAGCATAAGTTTCTCAATGTACTTTTTGAGACAAACACAAGAAAGCTTCAAAACCTCTCTGCCCTGCAATTAGGCTGGTCACATATCACACCCTGTCATAATACAACCACAACTGTAGGTATTTACACACTGCTCTTCAGGAGCGTAGCTTTGAAAAATAACGTAGTTGCACAAACGGTTTATATACCTGTTTCTATATTTAGACATTTGTCCTGGTTTCAGCTGGGACAGAGCTAACATTTTCTTCTTAGTAACAAGAATAGTGCTGTGTTTTGGATTCAGTAGGGGGTTTGGTATGAGAAGAATGTTGATAATAAACTGATGTTTTCAGTTGCTAAGAAATCAAGGACTTATCAACTTCCCCTGTCCTGCTAGTGTGCAGGTGCACAAGCAGCTGGGATGGAGCACAGCCAGAGCAACAGACCCACACTGGCCCGTGGAATATTCCAGATCACACAACGTCATGATAAGCACAGAGATTAAAGTCAGCTGGGAAGCTCGCTCACTCTCCTGGGATTGTGGTTTCAGGATTCTCTCTTCTCGGGGATCACTAGCTGGGAATGGGCAGGTGGTGAGCAAGTGCACTGTGCATTACTCATTTGGTATTTTCTATTATAATAGTTATTTAAAACTTACTTTATTTCAGTTATTAAAATTGGTTTTTTTCTCAACCTGTGAGTCTCCTTCCCTTCACCTCTCTAATTCTTTGCCCCCTTCCCCAGGGTGGGAGAAGGTGAGCCAGAAGCCGTGTGGTGTTTGGCTGTCGGCCAGGTTTAAACCACAACAGCATTTCAAACTAATACATTTTTAAAAATAACAGTGCAGATAAGGGCATTGCATTAGATGATACGTGCATAAAATGATTCAGAAACTGTAGCATCTCTCATATGAGAGGCCTAGAGAGCTGGGGCTGACTGGAGAAGAGAACGCTCAGGGTGGGAATCTCATCAATGTTTTTAAATATCTGATGGGAAGGGGTAAAGAAGATAGATCTAGGCTCTTCTCAGCAACAGCCAGTAACAGAAGGGGCACAAACTGAAACACAGGAAATGCCACCTGAACACAAGGAAGCACTTCTTGCTGTGCAGGTGGTTGGATGTGGTAACACGTTGCCCAGACAGGGCTGGGGAGTCTCTATCCCCACAGCTATTCCAAACCCAAAGTGACCTGCTGTAGTGGACCCTGCCTGAGCAAAGGAGGTGGACCAGACAATCTCCAGAGACGCCTTCCAACCTCAACTGTTCTGTGCTTCTGTGGAGAATATACAAATGATAAAGTCTCTATATGAATACAAAATCTTTTAAATACTGACTTAGCTCAGTCACTCTAGTGATTAATTTTTCACCAGGCTTGACTGAAAGCAGTTGACTGACTTGTGAGCTTGTTTTTAAAGAACAGTTTATTCACTCTTCTTTCACATCCACTGTGGAATCCTTTAGTGCCATCGGGACCTTTAGGCAGCCGCAGCACCCCTATAGGCAGACCATCTGCATTTTGTATTTTCCGAGCCAACATGGGGCTACTGACAGGAGTTTCCTCTTGGGTAACAGTTTTATCTTTTCTCCTCTGTACCCAGGGGCTACCAGAAGGAGTGATACTGCTATCCGAGGAATAATCTGTACATTTCCTTGGAATTTCAGGGCTAGTGCTTGGGTTAAGCTTGCTGTCTTCAGCCAGCGGAGACCTTTTGGTTACTTTTCTTAGTGAAGATGGGCTGTTCCAAGGACTTGATCTGGGTGACACATTAGGACTCAAATGGTTGTTTGGGTGTATGACGGGACTCAAATTACTTGTAGTATTTTTTGCAGTACTTTTGCGTCCTGACAGTGGTGATGTAGGATTACTCTCTGGGTCAGAAGAGCTATTTGCTGAAGATTCATCACCAACAAACTGAAGTTCCTCAACTCTTTTATTAAGGGATTTAGTCTTCTTAAGACTTTTGCTGGTATCTTCATCACGGGTTTTGTCTTTAGGAACTTTTTTCTTTGGAGGTTTCATGCCTATTAGTACAACTTTCATGCCGCTCTCTTTCTTTTCAGCACACATGAAGTCATGAGCATGTATGGCAGCATCTACTTCTTCAAATTCTATAACTGCGCATTCCTGAGTTCCCAGCTGGGTGTACTGATTGCTGACCCTCCTGATATCAAGTGGTAGATCCCTACCAGGCTTGAGAATACGAACTGATGAAATTGCACCAAAAGTTGCAAAGGCTTTGAGGAGATGCTCCATTATCCTTTCTTGTGTGCATCCATTTTCTTGTTGATTGTTAAGAACCTGTAGCTCAGAAATCATGTGGATGTCATACACCAGTAACATCCTGGTAGGGAGGTTTTCACTTGGAAACACTGGAACTGGAGTATTTCTTCTAACTTTTCTGTTATCATCATTGAGATCAAGAATGTCCGAGTACTTCAGTGCATAGGCTGTGGTTCTCCAGTCACGGGTAAGGTGTTTCACCTTGAAGACAGACACAGGTCAAACCCACTCAAACTCATTACAGAAAGTGCAAGGCAGATGCAGGCTCTAGTCTACAAACAGAAACCTGGATTTAAGTTTCCTGGAGCAGACTTGAGTGAAAAAGTAAACAGTTTTCCTGCTATAATGGGCATCAGTGAGCTCCTGTTCGGCTGAATCTACTGAAAATAGGAACTGACACTGAATCTCAAACTGAAAGTCATTACTTTATTTTAAAGCCTCCTCAAGTGATTATTTGGTCATTCCATATTTAGGTCTGAACCATGACCAAAATGCATGTTCTGTGGATTTTGTTACATTTGCCAAATGAGTAGTTTTTCCAAGTTTAAGACTTCATTTCATTGAACTGGTATTTGCTCCCTCAGAAATCTCAGTTAAAAAAAACCCAGACTTTTCCATTTCCAAGGAGCGTTTTTAAGAATTTATCTGTTATTGGCATAATCTGTCTGAAGAAACTGGGAGTGCCTTAACTTCTAGACTGAATAGCTCTGCAAAACTGTCAGATTTAAAATCTTGACAAAGTGTTTCTAATGTAGGTTTAGAAATCAGTTACATACAGTTATGTACATACGAGTTTCTAATGTAAAAAAAAAAAAAAAAAAATCAAAAAAACCAAACCACCACACCACCTCACTTTTAAGTGACTTCAGTTATCAGATACCTTCCACTAAATTTTTGGATCTCCATATATTTTGCAAAGGTCAGATTCACCATCCTTTCTCAGAAACAGGAAAGTAACTTTACCAGGATTACTTAGCTACTCATGAATCTAGAAATTAATTTTTATCGAATGTCCCATTTCCTATGCTCTACTCTCTCCCATAATGATAATTTAGAAGCTTAGTTGCTTAAAAGCCCATGATTTCCCTAGCCAATCATGAACAAGTTCAGCAATTAAAGTTCTGAATGAGAACAAACCTAACCATCACATCAAAACTGAATCAACCCCTGAGAAAGGCAGATAAATTGGAAGACTGTAAACTACCTCTATAAAGTAAGTTATTTTCATCTCATCTCTCCTGATGCTTTTAGATTCATCAAGCTTGCACAGGCATTTCAAGTCTTAAAAAGTTAGCTTACCTTCTTAAAAGAAGTAAGGAGTTTAACACTGACATAGCCCATCTTATTTCTTCTCACATGCTTTAGAAGGAAGGCATCTTTCTCAAGGTTCTCGTCTGAGAAGTAATATTCAATCTGTGCTACTAACTTCTGGATCAGGTCATTTTCTGGTGGTTTCCAGTTCTGGTCAGAGTCGTCATCGTTTTCCCCACCACTGGAAAACAGTTATATCATTTTATTAACAGATCTTCATCTTATATCGGTGGATTCAAATAGTCTTTCAAACTGAAAAACAGTAACTGTAACATTGATTCCAACTTACTTTATAGGTGGGCACTGAACAGGTATCACCCTATCCATCTGAGGCAGGAGGCCAGCTCAGAGGATGAAGCTTCCCAGTCAGCATAGGGAGTCAAGTTCCTGAGCTCATTCCATAAAGCTGGTCTCAGTGCAGAACAATGAGACATATACAGTACATCTTGGAAACACTCTGCCAACTCAAATCCTACACCAAAACATGAAATGCAGATGCACAAGCACATGGTGCTGTACAAAGTTCGTGAGAATACAAGGAAAGATTGGCAAGGAGGATTGTAAACATGCTCAAGTGACTTGCAGCTGGGGTGCCAAAACCCACATGTCACACTTAGTTGTTTAGCTTTGTGTGCCTGACGGGTAGAATGACTGCACTTAATAACATAGGCCTTTGAGAAACTCAGAGGCACCTCATCCTTGGGATTCCTGCCCTACTGTGGGAAAGATCAAAGCACAGTGGAAAAGTACACCTGCAAAACCCCTGACATACACGAGCGACAGCAGCAGGTTCAAGATCTTTTCCTGCTTCACCTCTTTCTGGCTAGCAAGGACTGAGCTCCGGTGGTGCCAGTGTGCCCATTGCATGTGTCTGCCCAGGTGCTGCTGCAGAGACCCCCTGGACCTCAAGGGAAGAATAAATTTACTCTGCATTTCATCCATGGCTTTGTGGTTGTTCCTGCATCCTGCCTGTGCCAGCTCATATAAAGTTTCTCCAGTGACAGTGTTTTATTTTTCAGTAGGAAGCTATTAAACATGGGCTTGACATCTACGTGCCTCACAAGCAGTGTCACATACCAGTGAATAAATATTCCAGCCTGAGGTAACCATTATTTCTCAAGCCTCATCACTGCATGAACGCAGGAGCCAGTATCCAGGGAGTAAGACAGACTGACAGGACTACTGCACTTTTTACAGGTCCCTTCCAGAGTAACAGAGTAACAACTAACTGTTTACCAAGGGGCTTAAACTGTATGTACATTTCAGATTAAGGACTTTGGTGCAGTAGCAGCCCATGCATCTCAGGCAGAGCTGTATTGCTCACATCTGCAGGTTGCTAAGAAGTCATTCTCATTTCTTCTCTCCCCCTCTCATCATGTTGTGTAGGTACTTGTGCAAAACAGAGCATTGCTGAGCATCTTATCCCAAAAAAAGATACTGCAACCATGGATTTGAGATAAACTTCTTGCCACATGCAGTTACAGCAACACCTTTGTTGCTGATATACAAACTACCATTTGAGGCAAATAGTTCACCTACAGACTACAGCCATAGATGTTGCTGCAAGAACTGTAATGCACAAGCCTATCTTAAGCCAGAGCCATTTATTTTAAAGCTGTTAGCAGTCTGGTTTTGCTGCGGGACCATCATGAAAGTTTCTGTTAAAAAATAAAAATTAATCATCCACTAAACTCTCTAGACCCTATAAATCATGTATTACTTTGATCTCATGTGTACCTCAGCAATAAAAAAAAAGGAGGAACCACACATTTTCCCAAAATTGTCTTAAATTGCTTTTAATTGCTTTTGCAGAGCTCATGAAATCATTAAGCAAAGGAGAAGGCATCACACTTGAGTCCTCTGAGGGCAATCTGGCAGGGAGGACGCAGGCTGCTGAATCACCTTGCCTTGTGCCAGTTTTGTCCCCGAGACAAACTGGACACTGATCTCAACGTGGAGGGAGATGCTGCCGGTGCCCGGGCGCAGGCAGAAGCGCTGCCTAGGCAGGCTCTTGCTGTACAGCTGAAGGCACTGTTCAGGTCAGAGGGTTCTGAGCAGGGAACCAGCTCCCTCGTGTGACAAGTTACAGCAGTTCTCCAGGACCTGGCTTTTTGAAGCTAACAATTTATTTACCTATTACGGTTCTTCCAATGATAGGGCAGCACATCAGATATACACGGATACTCACTCGCACAATCCTTGAAGTCTCCTTGTCAAAATCTCCCTAGCCCTTAATGGTGTACAGTTCCAAGGAATGACAAGAGTGAGGGAGCAAGAAAAAGAATGTAAGTTATTTGACAATGCCAGAAGTGGAGGATAACAGATGATGATTAATATAGTAAAAAATGTTTAATGGCCAGCTGTGAGTGCTAGCTTCAGAAGGAAGAAAAACCGAGGTTAAGTGTTTAGGTTTCATTCATGATATTCCCTTACCCCACTACTTCTCATTTTTCATTAACTACTTATTCAGAACTAGTGTGGGCACCAGAAATTTAGAACATTTCAGCATTTTTACATATCCACACCCTGCTAAGAAAAGCTTACCTTCAATTCAGGGTGGAGCTCACAGGGGTTTTACGATAATTTATTAGTACAGATATTTGCAGGTATTTGGAAGGTTTGGAAAGAAAATGGAGCATTATGCTTGTGAAAAAATATTAAAATGAAGTGCATGTTTGCAAAGGTCAGTACATCCTTACAGTGTTAACACACTGAATCAGAATGAAACGGGTATCATTTCACCTCTCAATTAAATATTGGCCACAGTCTGAACCATACATCAAGACTGTTCAGCTTTTACAAAAACTTTAGAGCTCTTACAACAGCCCTCACCAAGCACTGTATGGAAATTCCACCTACAGAAAATGCAGAAATTTATAACTAGCTCCGTATTAATCCATTGTAACGATCAACCTCTAGGGTATCAACTCTACTACAAAAGTAGTTGATAAATCAACGTCAATCAACATTGACCACAAACAAACAAACAAACAAAAAAGCGCGTCTGATAGTTATTCACAACTTTCATTTACTTATTTCTCTATTCAGAGCTTTGTGATGGATACGCTTGTCAAAACAGTTAGGACAGACTGAAAACCAACCTTTTAACATGGTGACTCACTGACCATTAGTCACACAAGAAACTAAACACGTATCTCCATAGAGAATAGACTTTGGGTTTTAAATATCAGAACTCACAAACAATATATTAAATTGCCTGCATAGAGTCTAACCTTATGACAAGTTTCTGCTGAGTCTTAAAAAGAATAAGGTATTATATTAATAAGCACTATGTGGCAGTAAAATTTACAGCATGAAGTTGATGTTCTAACAGCACAACCACTCAAGGCAGTGACGGTCTGTTAACAAAAACTAGTGGATACAATATTGGGTGCTTACCAATGTACACATGGCTGCAGCAATCATTAAATTTTAATTTCTATTGTGAAACACTGTATTTTAGACTAACAACATCATGAAAAGTGTCACCTTTCAAGCTCAGATTCTTCCTGTGTCTGTCTGCATCCAAAATAAACTTGGGCGAGAATAGCTTTACTTTACACATAGGAGAACCACCTGTTTGTTATCAACACTCTGAAAATTTTCTGGCTGAGGACTGAATGTCACAAATACTCAAAGATCTCCTGAAGAACTGTGGTGTCTTGTCCATGGGGAAATGGTTTTCCTAAGTTATAAAAACTAGAAATTGAGAGAAAAAAAATCTAAATTGTCTGCCAGCTTAGCTGGAGAATGAAATGACTCATTGTCAGCGGTTTTAGACCATCACTGAAAATTTTTCAAACATTTGGGTAAATAATTTCCTATCAGATGTTGCATTCCCAAAAATATATCCTTAGCTAAGATAACATGTAAATGCCAAAAGCACACATGAAATCCACTCACCTAATTTTGATGCAGAGCCTTTACAGTTTTCTCCATGGAAATACCTCTGGCCTTCCCTGGATCAGGAAGAGGCCGTTTACAAAAAAGCAACCTCCACAAGAACCGAGTATACAGCAGCACTGTCAGCAAACATTTCTGAGGATAGAACCTACTATAGAGGATTCAATAAGCAGCACTTAAGAGTTAGCTATTTTGTGTTACAAAGCTTGAAAAAAATAACCACCTTTTTTCTAGTCTAGACCAGGGCTAGAAGCTTTTACACAAGTAACAGTCAAGAAAAACAAATGTAAAAAATACTCTGCATTTAAGAAATCAGTAACTGGAATGCAACACTGTAGACTTTTGTACACATCTGATTTATAAAAATACATCAGTCACATATAAATGTGGAAAGACTAAGCAGACTTAGTTTAAACATTTGACTTGTGTCTCACTATGCTCACCTCCTGTTTCTGCAGGCACAGACGACAACTTACGCAGCTGCAGAAAATTTCCCCCTCCCCAACTACCTCTCCGCAATTTAAAATAACGCATTGCAGTTCAGTCTCAGTCAGTACTATGAAATGAAATTGGAGAATCGATTAGAAACAACTGATCTTGGAACAGAACACTGAATTTCATGCTGCACCTAAATATTTATGTGAGTTCAATTGTTGCTGCATCTGCAGCTTTAGTACAAAACACAAGATGAACTACAACTAGTCAGCTTTGGCTCTCTGCAGTTTTCTGGCACAAAAATCCTGGATGTTCCTTCTACAAGTAAAAGACTTGATGTCTGGTCAACTTAATTCCAAAACCATAGAACAGGTCTGCTTGTCCATATCGTAATTCCGCCGAAGAAAATCTCTACAGTCCGATGCCCGCACCAAACGGCAAAACCCAAACCAAACGCAACCCCAAAAAACAACCAACCGCAACCCCCTTTCTGGGCAGTGCAGTGAGATGGCGGGGGCACCGCAGCCCGGCGCTTCTGCCGGGGGGAAGCCACGTCCCG